TAAATCATGGAAAAACAGCTCCGACTGGATTTGGTTATGTTACCCAAAAAGCAATACGAGCAAACTTGGACGGGATTTTTCTGTTGCGGATGGGAAAGTAGGTTGGCAAACAGCTTCGGGTGTGTGGTTGACAGCAGACTTAAACCGACCACAACGAATATAAATACAAGTGAGCGAGGTCTCATTAAAAATGGTAGGGGGGAGTGTAGTAATGAATGGCAGAATATGCATTACGATGGTTTCTCGTTAGGTCCTGTCACAAACAGGGCGTGAGGCATAGTTCAACGCTCACGAGAGTGATGTGGTTCCGATGGGAGCAAAATATTTTGCCGGAAGCGCAGTGGTCTAGTCGCTGTCACCGGCGTACTTTGGACTCTATGGTCCGAGGTTCGCGCCCCGTGACCGCCATCCGACTTTGGTGATAGGCAGCTCTGATGTCGTCCGGTTCAATACCACACCTAACCTATCGGGGCCTTATGTGGTTCGCCACTTCAAGTACCGAGGCTTAGGTTGCCGGTTACCATCACTGAACAGCAGGTCCTCGTGACCATGGGGTTCGCCCCGTCTGCTGTTCATCACACTTAGGTGTGACAGTTTGGTAAGCAACGATGTTGATTCTTGTTTTTGTAGCTCGGGTGGTGCAGTAACTGGGTTACTGCATTGAGAATGTCACCTCGATTGGTGATGAAACGTTTGCAATACAATTGTCAAGCTCGGCGAACAACTGAACCTCACACTTACACGGCAATACACAAATTGCATCTTAGAAAAAACCAAAAACTCGCACTTAACTCACAGTCACTTATGAGTAGTGATTTGGAATAATTGACATTGATTTGAACTAGCCATCTTCAAGCACAATCCTCAGTTCTCTCAGTTACTAGTGTTTATTAACTGATGAAACTACTGCAAACACATTTGTAACCAGGTTCAAATAAATCCTTAAATGATACGATCTGACTGGTTTGAACATGCAAATGAGCATGGAGGTACTAGTCAAATTTAGGTTTCCTACACGTTGATTTTTGATTGTACAAGGATGAAGTTCTGAC